CTCCCAATCCCAACCCCAATCCCGACCCCACTCCCCTCAATCCCAATCCCAATCCCACCCCACCCCCCCTCACCTTCTCCCTCATCTCCTTCTCCTTCCGCCGCTGTTTCTCGGTTTTCCTCTCGGGCTGTTCCCGTTTCCGGGGCGGTTCCCGCTCTTCATCCTCCTCCTCCTCCTCGTCCTCGTCCTCCTCCAGCAGCCCCTGCAGCTGCTCCCGCAGCACGGCCTCCTGGGGACCCGCGGGGTCAGGGGGTCACAGCCCGAATTTGGGCTTCAGACCCCAAATTCTGGGGCTCAGACCCCCAGTGTGGGCTCAGACCCCAAATTCGGGGGTCAGACCCCAAATTCAGGGGCTCAGACCCCAAATTCTGGGGCTAGACCCCAAATTCTGGGGCTCAGACCCCAAATTCGGGGCTCAGACCCCAAATCCCAGAGCTGAGACTCCAAACTCTGGGGTCAGACCCCAAATTCGGGGCTCAGACCCCGAGCTCTGGGCTCGGACCCCAAATCCCAGAGCTGAGACCCCAAAACTCTGGGGTCAGACCCCAAATTCTGGGGCTCAGACCCCCAGTGTGGGCTCAGACCCCAAATTCGGGGCTCAGACCCCGAGCTCTGGGCTCGGACCCCAAATCCCAGAGCTGAGACCCCAAAACTCTGGGGTCAGACCCCAAATTCTGGGGCTCAGACCCCCAGTGTGGGCTCAGACCCCAAATTCGGGGCTCAGACCCCAAATTCAGGGGCTCAGACCCCAAATTCCAGAGCTCAGATTCTAAGTTCCAGGGTCAGATCCCAAATTTGGGGGCCCAGACCCCAAATTCTGGGGTCAGACTGCAAATTCCAAAGACAGACCCCAAATTCCAGAGCTCGATCCCAAATTTGGGGGCCCAGACCCCAAATTCTGGGGTCAGACTGCAAATTCCAAAGACAGACCCCAAATTCCAGAGCTCGATCCCAAATTTGGGGGCCCAGACCCCAAATTCTGGGGTCAGACTGCAAATTCCAAAGACAGACCCCAAATTCCAGAGCTCGATCCCAAATTTGGGGGCCCAGACCCCAAATTCTGGGGTCAGACTGCAAATTCCAAAGACAGACCCCAAATTCCAGAGCTCGATCCCAAATTTGGGGGCCCAGACCCCCAATTTGGGGCTGTCCCACCTGCGAGGGCGGCTCCTCGGTGACCTTCAGCCTCCTCTCCACCTTCTCCTCCTCCCTCCTCCTCCTCATCTCCACCTCCAGCGCCCGCAGCAGCAGATCCTGCAAAGGGGCACCCCAAAAATCCCTCTGAGACCCCAAAAACACCCCAAAAACTGTCCCAAAACCATCCCAAAAACTGCCCCAAAAATCCTTCTGAGACCCCAAAAACACCCCAAAACCGTCCCAAAAACCACCCCAAAACCGTCCCAAAAACCGCCCCAAAACCACCCCAAAAACTGCCCCAAAACCATCCCAAAACACACCCCAAAAATCCCTCCGAGACCCCAAAACACCCCAAAAACTGCCCCAAAACCGTCCCAAAAACTGCCCCAAAAATCCTTCCGAGACTCCAAAAACACCCCCAAAACTGCCCCAAAATCACCTTAAAATCACCCCAAAAATCTTTGAGACTCCAAAAAACCACCCAAAAACTACTCCTAAACTACCCCAAAAACTGCCCCAAAACCACCCCAAAAACCACCCCAAAAACCTTTATGAGACCCCAAAAGCACCACAAAACTACCCCAAAAACTCTCCCAAAACCACCCCAAAAAATATCTCCAAAACCGCCCAAAAACCACCCCAAAATCCTTCTATGACCCCAAAAACGACTCCACAACCACCCCAAAAACCCCCTCGGACCC